GGCCCAGTCTCGGGCCCGACTATCTTTACCGCATACCCGCTACCCACCCCGAAAAATTTTTTCCTTTCCATACTTTCCCCATCCACCCCTGAAGAGGAGCCCAGTGTCCTAGGCAACGGACCACCATGTGCAGAGGAGGGGAGAGGGGGTTTTTGAGGTTTAGCCACTTCGGGGCGAAGTGGCATTAGAGGGAGGGTGAGGAGCGGGGTGTAGACCCTACCGGATCCCCTGGGACTCTCCCACTATTGCCGCTACCTTGGCGCTACCACCCGCATACCCGGAGGAGCGCAGCCCGGAGGTCAGAGTGCAGGCACGCAGACGATGGCCCAGAGGTCAAGTGCTGCACGACCACCCTCCATACCCGAAGCGGGCGCAGCCCCAAGGCCGGATGCGATCACGGGGACGACACGACTGCAGCTGGGGCCATCCTGCTTTTACATAGCGATCTATTTTGGTCGCTAGTGCTTCCTGCAGTGCTGCGGGACATCCTGGGGTGTTTTCCTGAAATTTCTTGTTCGGATCCTTCAACAGGATTCGATGGTTCACCTCCCTCAGGGGGGGCATTTCTAATGGCGCTGGCACCATTACGGTTTCAAATTTTTCTCTCCACCACTCCCTGAGTATTTCAAACTCGGGGTTGTTCATGGAGAGACCTTCCAGGTGTGGTACGTCTGGAAGTTCTAGTCCTTCCGGACTAGGATTGGGCCAACCTTCAGGGTATTTTCTTGTGATTACCCTGAGGTGTGTTTCGATCCCGCCTCCCTGTCAGGGGGGCTTCTTTTTTGGTTGTTCTCGGGCTCTTGCTCAAGTTTTCCATCCGCGTGATCTCGTCACACAGTCTTCGCTTATTCCAAGGGTGTCTATGTTGCCCTTGTTTGCCGTTCTCACTTTGTGGGACCGGAAGTCTAAGCTTACCTGGTTTTTGTTTAACCAGGGGGCACCGAAGATGACGTCATATCTGTCAATGTTTATTACATCGAAGTAGTGTTTTTCTATGTGGCCATTGATTTCAACGTCCACATTGGTTCCGAACAGGATCTGTGATCTTGTTCCTTTCGTCCCCATTTGAAGGACGACTGGGTTCTCCAATTGGAGAATTGGGATGTGGACCGCGCAGACAAAGTCCGGCGATAAAGCATCCGTTTCGGCTCCACTATCGAATAGCACATAGGCTTTTATGCCTGCTATTTTTATGTGAGCCGTTAGCATTCTCTTCATTGAGAGCGGTCTGTTTGCAGGGTATTTTCCCGCGTCTTTTGAGATGCGGAATTTCGCATCAAACAAGGGGGACTGGGTTTCGATGGACTTTTGGTCCTTCTTCCCTTTGTCCTTGTTTTCCTTGGGTACTTTCGTGTATTTCCCCAAGGCGTCTTTTCTTGGTGCTTCCACCAAGGCTTCGGCGACTTTTTCGTCTGCCGTGTTTTCTAACTGGTGTGCTACCTCTGCCTTCTGAAGTATCGGGACCGCGTCGAGAACGAGGCACAACACTCCTCCCTGAGTCGTTGAAGCTGAAATCCCGGCCCACTCGCCTAAGTAGCCTTGGCCTCGAGATCAGTGAGGTTAATCCTCACTAAAGCTTGGTCATGAGTAGGATGCCTGTATCATTAGTGGCCAATGTTCGGTTGCCGATGGCTATCATCGGCGAAGCTTTGCACGGTTCTGACAGGTAGAAGAAATTGGAGGCAGAAGATGATGACTTGGAAATAGAACTAGGTGCCAGAGCTGTCAACATTGTGATATGGCCATCACCGTTGGGAGCCAAGCAGAGGGAAATATAGAGAGAAACAAGTTGAGGGCGGCTGGACGAGAATATAGTGGACTCTTTTTTAGGAAGGTATTACCACAAAACAATAGTAAATACATGCTTCGAGGTTGTTCCTCCAACAGGAAAAAGAGCAAAAGCTACCAACCGACTGCAGATTATCCTCAACAATTTGAGTCTTCAAGTGGCGTCGAAGTTGTGGTCGGGATATCCAGTCCAGTTAAAATTCTTGATATTTATCAGAATGATGGGGGGAGATTGGCAATGTCTACGGAGCAGAGAGGCGAAGATTTGAGAAGATGCACGGTGAGGGTGTGGAACTACATTGGTAATGTATGTAGGCAGGGAAGAAGCTCTGTCGGACTTGATCCTATTGCTGAGTGTACTGCAGCTAGGCAGCAGAGCATATCCATACTCACACCAAAGCTTCGTGCCTGAGATGTGCGCCTGTATGTAGTGTCTGTGCGGAATCGAGTAACACACATGTATTGGACGGCCAGCCATTTAATGGCAAGAGGTTCCCAAATCGAGAATCTCCAGTTGAAAGCCACAGCCATGCCAAGCACTTGAGATCTGAGCCGGATCCCACGAAGGCTACAGGGGCCAAGCCCGTCCTCTGTCACTGTCAAGTCCACTGTGTGCTGCGAGCAGACTGAGTGTATGAACACCAGCGCGAATCTCGGCATGCTGTGCTTGATCAGCCCGGGGGCGTTGGGTTCAACACCTCCTGGATACTCCATGATAGACCCACTATGCAAGCTGGCCAATCTCCGGTACACGAGTCCACTCCTAGTTATTCTCCACCTCTTCGTCCCAGTATCGTCCACTCTCAATCACTATGTGCCCTCCTATAAACCTGTGGCACGGTATGGATGCTGCATGACACCCCTCGGTGGAACATCTCCATTCTACCCCATATTCGCTTGCAGACCATCCGCAAGGGATCCTACACAAATTCCTAGGTTCTGCACATCAAATTGGGGTCTTACGTACCCTTCTCAATATTCATATGCATGATTTCCTCCATTTTTACCGTCTCTCACACTCCCTGTAAGTTAGCCCAGTGGTAGATTTACCTGTTCAGGTATCCGAGTGCGGATCTTATATAATGCCCGATGAGAGGCTAAGTGTTCATTAAGTGATTTCAGGTCCACAGGGAATCGGATAATCAGGATTGGTCATCATGAACGGGACATTGGGATGACGCAAGGAAATGATGATGTCAATTCAACACGTCAAAAGGAGCAATTACATGCATATCCCAAGAGCCTGCTAATATGTAATAAACTCTGAAAGGTTCGCCTCTGATCGCTAAAAGTTAAAAATTAGCCAAGTTGGAAATTAGTATTGGCAGTTGCGATCCTTGTATATGCCCAGCAAAGTTAAAACCAACGTGGTCATACCACGCAAGTGCTAAACGGAGGGGGGTACAAGTCCATCTAAATTGAGGAATGCGATCATCCCTCTCTCTCCACCAATGCTAACATGATTACCGTGTTCCGCGATTACAGAGCTAGGCTTGAAGTAGTCGGGTAGCCAACAAATGTGCAGGGCAAGGTTTTCACGCTCAATGCAAAGAGCAGTGTGATGAAGAAAGAGATGGGATGGTGAAGATTTGCGGAAGGATGTTGAACTTGGGTTGGATACGTCGCCCAACTCCGGGAAGCTGAAATGTTTCGTCTCTTTCCGACCTTGAATGTGGAGTGTTAAGGATCGATGGAAAATAAAATATGGTAGGGACGAAAATTGAGCTGTTTCTGCCCAATGCACCTCCTGTCGGCAATGTCCCAGGCACGCACTCTGCCACCCTTGGAGGCTGAAACAAGATGGCAGCCATCAGGCGAAAACTCCACACAGGAAATGGTGCCAACATGACCTTTCGTTGCCTTTGGCCCTCGAGGGGGTGCTTCCATTGTCACATCCCAGACACGTAGAGTGTCATCCCGAGATGCCGAGGTCAGATAACAACCATCCGGCGAAAAATTCACGGACCAAACCCGACCAGTATTCAGCTCTCGAAGAGGTGCTCCTGTTGCCGCATCCCAGATGTGCACTGTGTGGTCATCTGAAGCCGAGGCCAAGTCACGGCCATCCGGTGAAAAATCCAGGGAGTTGATTCTAGTAGTATGTCCACTCAGTGCTCGAAGCAGGACTCCTGTTGCCGCATGCCAGACATGTATGGTACTATCCGACGAACCTGAGGCCAGATAACATCCATCTGGTGAAAACTTCACAAAATGGACGCCCAAGGCATGTCCCTCCAGTGTTCGAAAAAGCGCTCCTGTCGATACATCCCAGATACGCACATGCATACCATCTGCTGCTAGATAACGCCCATCTGGTGAAAAGGAAACAGAATAGACCAAGTTATGCTTCAATTCCCGGAGGGGCTCCCCTGTTGCTGTATCCCAAACTCGCACAGTGCGATCGTGCGAGGCCGAGGCCAGACGAAGGCCATCAGGGGAAAATGTCACAAATCTCACCACGTCAGTATGCCCCTTCAGTTCTCGAAGGCATGCTCCCGTTACCGCATCCCAGAACCGCACAGTACAATCATCCGATGCCGAGGCCAGATGAATGCCATCTGGTGAATATGCAACGGAATCGGCCCCATCAGTATGTCCCTTCATTTCCCGAAGAAGCGCTCTCGTCGCCGCATCCCAGATCCGCACGATGTCATCCGCACAGACTGAAACTAGATGACAGCCATCTGGAGAAAATGCCGCAGAGCAGGGTTCACTTGGGCTCTGGATTATCCCCGCTTGCAGTGACCATGATTGGCTGCTATCCATTCCATGAGAAACAATACGGCATTCAGCAGCCCACTTCTTTGGAAATGTTGCATCCAACGCGCTACCTGATGGAATAAATGGATGGCTACTTCCAAGTATAGATAAGGACGAGGCCGCTAATGCACTCCGGGATCGCTCGACTAGACAGAGCAGGTCGCGAATTACGTGACTTATACTATTGACTGCTTGAATGCCGACCTTCAAAACGCCAAAGTGAGCCCTACGCTAGTATCCAAGTAATATTTGACGTACTAGCCATGGCTGTAGTTCTTTCATGCCTTGGCACGCTTGGTCAATTTCACCCATGATTCCCATTGCCGCAATCCAGTGGGGAAGGGCCGGAACAGCGTCGGAAAGGGCCTTTATTATTTCACCATCGTGGGACCCGTCCGACTCACAAAGGAGAGTAATCCAATGGCAACACACAAACTTCAGCTGCGTCGTCATCAGCCTCTCAAAATCAGGTTGGAGATCAGGAATTTCTGCATCTGCTTGGAAACGCCATAGCGCTGGCAACTGATCCAGCACTGCACATCTCCCAAGCAGCTCCAACGAGAAGAGCACCATGTCCTTCCCCGGAGAGGGCTTGGAGAATGAATTGAGGTCACTTTTGAGCGAATCGTACATGACTGAGGATCGGCGATGCACTGCAAGACCTTCCCGCAGCTGGTGGGGAGATTAGATGGTCCACAACTCCGACAGCGTGATTCACATACAGATAATTCCAAGAGGTTTATGATACTCGATATTGGAACACCCCCTCGAAGTTGTTCCAACGATGGGATGATCTGAACTAATTTACTGGAAAACAGAAAGTTAACAGGAATTTCGCACAAAGTGCCGTTCAGATTTACTAACTCGGTGAAATAGTTTGAGAAGATCCGTGCGCCTTTAATTCCATAGATTCCATGCAGGTGTTCGTGTAATGTCCGCTGCAATACAGCAAGAAGTGCTTGAGTGGATGTGGAGATTTGGAAAGCGTTGGGTAGGGAACTGTGATAAGCGGACTGATGGTTCAAACAGGATCAGTTATAGTGAATGCGACACGAGGGCCACTCTCTCACATGGTGATGTTAAGGACGAACTTCACAGCCGTCGTTAGCTTTGAGTCTGCGATTAAACGAGCGAATCTTAGGATTGTCTCTGATTTGTTATTAATGCCTTTTGTAATGTGCGAATATGTCAGGATTTTGATCCGTTCTCGTCTCTCAGAACCGATTGTGGGATGGTTAAGAGACCCTCTCTCATACTTTGCCCCAAACATCCGCACTAACATTTCCTGGGCGGTGGAGGCGAAAAACCAACAATTTTCCTATATGGAACTAATGGTCAACTGATGATGAAACAGGGCCGGACACCGACGCTCACTTTGGTTAGCTTGTAATCAGGAGCTTCCGCTGCGATAGCATACAGAATTTGCGCAGCCACGATCAAAAGAGCAGGAGTAGGGAAGACCATGACAGCCTCTACGCCGGACTTGGTGTTGGTGAAATCAAGAAGGTGGTCGAGTCTGCCAGAAACAGCAGCCTATTGAGCAGTACCGCCTCTCAGCTGCGGTAAAGACATCCCGTACTCCAAACAACCACAACGGGACTTTGTGGTCCCGTCTGCGATCCAACCGAAGATAGAATTCCCTTCCGTCGGCTCGAGTGACATGCAGGATGAGGAATCGATGCGGCACCCCTTGAAGATCCCCATATCGTTGGACAGACACGATCCTGGCATTAGCAGCACGACGACTGTTGAATAAGCTTTCGCAGAACGTTCGGACAGAAAAGATTCGATATGGCTTCGAGTCCAAGCATTCGGCGAAGAAAGCGCCTGCCGATGCAATGCTTGCAACTTTCTTCCTTAAAGACGATGTGAACGATGCAGAAGATGTAAACGATGGGGCGATTGTGGATGAACCATCGGATAAAGTGGGTGTTGACCAGGAAAATGGGACGCTAAGCCGGTCACGGAGCGTTGTAGAAGATGTGTCATCGGGCAGGGGAGGCTCGAGTGAGGGCTCGATTCCCTCATCAAGCTTTAAAACTCGGATGAGTGAGGATTCAAGGCATCATAGTATTGATTCTTACTTCGAAGAGGAAATCGTCAACCGAGGCTGGTTCTGGGAAAGCAGGAGGCTCGATCGCTACCGGCACGAAGCTTGGCGAAGTCGAGCTTGAAGCGAAGGAGGGGATCGTGTCATGGAAATATCCTTCGGCGGTGCTACGCTGAGACGGTAATAACATAGAGATCGCTTCTGATAAGGAGGTCGAACGTTTGAACAGGAAGTATCTAGGACTCCGCAAATAAATCACTCACCATCGATGGGATCGATGGAATTTTCGATGGTATTCCCAGCGGCGCCAGCAACCGCATCCCCGGAGTCCTGATGGCTTGGCGTTGTTGCAGTAGGTGTAATAGAGGTCTGGGCCGAGCCTTCGTCCTCCGGAAGAACCAATGTAGGAACGTTCATGTCTCTAGATGGAAGAGATCGAAGGTGGAAGATGACTTGGAAATGAAACTAGGCGCTAGGCCTGTCAGCCTCGTGACAAAGCCATTACCGTTGGGAGCACCAACCTACTGCAGATTATCCTCAATAATTTGAGACCCTAAGTTGCGTGGCGTTGAAGCCGTCCGTTGCCGAGATGTCTGATCCCGTCAAAGTCTTCGATAATGGTGGGGGAGATGAGCAATGTCTACGGAGCAGAGGCGAAGATTCGAGAAGACGCGCGGCAAAGGTGTACTAGGGAAACGGCCACGTGGAAGCTGGCAGCTCTTCATTTGCTTATGAAGGTCGGACTTAATCCCACTGCGGAATATTACTGAGTGTACCGAGAAAGGTACAGCTGGACGGCGGAGCATGTGCATCAGTACTCACACCACGACTCCTCAAAGCTTCATGAGGGCGCCTGAGATATGCGCTTGCATGTAGTTTCCGGGTGAAATCAAGTAGAAGATGTATCGGACGGCCATTGGGAAGAGGTTTCCAAATTGAGCATCTCCAGTTGAAGGCAATTGAAGGCCATTCCTGTCGGGCAGATGCCGCAGGTCCGTCGGCCCTTGCAGAACCTGATACGTTAACTGGAGGATTTGTTGTGCGCACTGAGCACGACATACCGTTGTTCGTGTTCTACTTGTTCGTTTCATTATCGATCTATCCGTCTTACTGCTCCGTCCGTGCGGTGTCATGCATGTAAGCCTGAAGCATGTCGTGGCTTGGTTCCTCCTGTCTATTCCGATTTCATTCTTCCCCTTCCCGGGCGGAATCTGCCAAATAAGACGACGCAAGGGACCACTCTCCATGTGCTTTCTTTTTCCGACGTTCAAGCATGCGTCCTTGTCATTCTCCTTAGTCATCAAGTAAGTGCGTGGCGTGGGATTCGAACCCATGTGGCTGTTTTCCCTATATAGAAATGGATCACCTGCTCTCCTAGTGCTAGTACTTGAAGTGGTCATTTGCGAACCTCGCAGGCGCTTTGGACCATGCTGATCAGCTGTCCAAAACACCCATCAACATCGGCTCAGCATCGACATTATCATTTACGCGCGTTCTGAGATGCTCACTGCTTCCGGTGCGCCAAGACACATCCCCATTGCTTCGCCAGCTCCTCTCGGCGGTTGCGGTGGCATTGAGTGGAGTAGAGTGGCGCTACAATTTGGCTACGATGGCCTTTCTGGTTATTGGATCCGACCTCGGTCAGCGTTTGTCAGATCCCTTAAAGTTCACATCAATATACACTCTTCACGGTTGCTCTGTTGGACTGGCGGCACGTACATATTGCTGTTCTGACCACGTCAAATCACAATTGGAACAGAACTTCTCTTACGCAGTCCTTGTGTGCTGCCAAGTCGCCCTGGTTCTGCTTCGTCGTGATTTTGAAGCGATGCTGGGAACCACGACTAAGGATCGGGAGAGTGTGGCTTAATCATTCTTGATTCGTTCACACTCCGACATCCCTCTAGTCCATGCCGCGTCTATGTGCAGTCAGGCGATTCTTCATGACATGCCACACAAGTTACAATTTGACCCTCTCTTCCTCTACACCCCCCTTTGGTGAATGTTTGTACAACATTAACCCAGACCCGGGGCTCATACCATGAATATCCATACGCCTCCGAGGGTACACTCCCTGGCACCTTGCCACTTGGATCGATTGCGATGCGTCGTGCATGTTTGACATGTCTGGTGAGATAGATAGATTCTGCGTAGTGAATGATACGATCTTTTGTGCTGTGGATGACTAGGATGAGCTGCACGGTAATAACAAGATGAAGATGAGTCACCCTCATTCGACACAACTCCACACCAATTTGTGTCGAAGGTCTTTTAAGGATCAAGAGCTTTTCCACTTTCACTTTTCCTTCAGATGTCCTTACGTTGTAGCCAAACTCAACCATAGGTCTCGCAATCATCATTTTCCTCTCATCCGTAAGTCGTCCATCAACCGGGGGTGGTTTGGCAAGATATTCAATGAACTCCGGGTCACCGCAAGGAATTTTTGTCGTTGTAACTGCGAGCCGGGCCAAGAAGAATTTGGAACCATTAGCAGACCAAAACACGTAAATAGCAATGATTACAAGAACAAGAATAGTGCCAAAAAGCTGCGAATGATCGTTGTTTATAGATTGTGAGTAAGTCGTGAACAGGAGCAAGGTTGATGCATTCGGAATTCTCCAACGTCATGTCCGTCATCTGTGTTCTCGGTGCTGATTTGAGCTATTCGTCTATCATGGGGTACGCACTTTTGGGCCTCCATGGAACACCCTGAAACCAGCACCGAGAACACAGATGACAGACAAGAATTCCAAACGCACCTCGAGAGTTTCCTGAGAACATAACGGTTCACACACGACCAGCATGCCTGAGGCAGATAGGATCTCCCCAATCAGAAACGCCTGAACCATAGATGAGCACTGCCCATTCTTGTTCAAAGGCGACACTCACCTGCATAGCCTGTCAATTCTGAGTCCTGGAGTTTCGAAAACTTCATGGATCTCTGCAATTATTGTCGCAATCTTGGCGGAGGTCATTAATGGAACAACGGAGTCATAATAATTTATTTACTTGGTCCTTCACAAACTGGGAGTCACCCACGCTGCATCGCCACACCCTAGTCCGCCCTCGTCTCAGTTCGGAGCTGAAGGATGTGGCAGTTCGTTCCTGGGAAATAGTGGGTATGTTGCGAGCTTCGTCTTCCTCATTTTTCGGTAACACATCTTTCAAGTCTTGAAGAGCTCTATTCTCGTCCTGGGCCAAGGCTTGTTGCTGACACAGTCAAATGTTAGATGTACAGGGAATTATATACTCCAACACATTTAACTTTAACGTACAATTGGTTTTAATGCATGTGTAAGTCGCTTCTCTCCCTCTTCGACCAAGGCCTTCCCTAGTTTTAGGCAGGTTTGCTGTGAATGAACAACCCATATTATATCTGGCATCCTGATGGTATTTTGAAGAGAACTAACCCTGGCATGTCCATATGGAGGCTGGAGACTCCGGAGATATAGCATTGGTCGCAAACCGCCATATGAAGCTATTTTCGCGTAAGGAACAAAAACAGCCAATGGTATGGGGGACACTTTTTTGATGGCAGCGGATCTTTTCTCATTGAGTTCTGAAGAGGTGGGATGAGGAAGGTCTGTGGATCGATCTGAGTGAAATAGCACTTACGAGGGTTACAATGGATAAAGTCCAAACAAATAATACCACGAGATTCAGAGGTACAGAAAATGATCAGGAGTAGGAACCAGTGCAATAAACGGGCGGAGTGCAATGAATAATGTCGCACTGGTTTTTGCGATTTGGCTTCGACATACCGCTGGACCATGTCTAATAATTCAACCTCACAAAAATTGACGCATTCATGCACAGGATCCGGTATCACTGGCAAACCCCGACCAGATGCTTGCGATTTACCGGACTCAGGGCACCGATATGATGGATCTTTCTTTCGATCGCGTTGCTGATAAAATAATCTTGGTGGGCAGATCTTCGATGCGAAAGACAAAGCTTACTGTTGGAGGCCCGGTCATGTTGTGAGAAAACTAGCGATGTATAAGCACTCAGTTCACGATAGTGTAACTAATTTATTTCTGAATCACCTAGTGATCTATAAGCGCTAGACAATTACACGTTGTTGAGCAAATGGTCTAATATGACCAAGAAGTATGATCTCACCTCAGTTCACGATAGTGTAACTGAGGAGAGAGAGAAAAAACAGTCGCGACGAGTGGCTTTTAAGTCTACAACGCCGCCTATCAACAAGAAGAATAAAACGGGAACAGTGGACAATCTTAGGTGGCTGATAGGTCTGTGTGCCACTATAGTGGGACGTCGACCTTTTCTCTAATACATGTCCCTGGTCCCTGTCGAGGTAAGGAAGAACACAGGGCGGTGGAAAACAATTGACACATAGAGGAGTCTGGCCTTGTGTTTTCTCGATACAGTATCAAGCCAGCTGTCCATCGCTGTCCAGTCAACTGCGCACTGTGGGCATACTGAGTGTATGGACTCCGGCACGTGTCTAGCTTGCTCAGCCCAAGGCAGGTTAGACACTCCATTATAAATCCGCCATCAGAGCTGTCGATCTCAGCCTCGAACACATTGACCAGGTTGAAATGTGTTGTAGGATCCTGAGTGCGACATGATATCTTGGTCACCATCACTACTGAAGCTCCCTCCATCTGAGGAAGCAGCGTCAAATGAGAACTTGTCGAGTAAATAAACACATCCAATTTGACGGCATCTTTGTGATGCGCGCGTCTATCACGTCTCTATTCATTCCTACTCTCAATCAATATATACATGAATATATAAAGTATCATCTGCAGCTTCCTCCGCTGTGGATCCAAACGGTGATGGCCTTGTTACGATCATGTTGACGGGTCTAGTGCACAGTTCCATTTCCAAGCCATCTTCCACCTTCGGTCTCTTCTATCTACGTTCCTACATTGGTTCTTCTGGAGGAAAGCCTGGCCCAGACCTCTATTACACCTACTGCAACGATGTCAGGCCATCAGAATCCCGGGAATGCTGCTGCTGGCACCGCTATCGAAAATTTCACCGATCCCATCGATAGTGAGGCAGAGCCTTGGGTATTTTGTGTTCCAGCCTTCTAACTCCTTATCAGAAGTGGTCTCTATGTTATTGCCATCTCAGCGTAGCACCGCTGAAGGATATTTCCATGACACGATCCCCTCCTTCGCTTCGACCTCGACTTTGCCAGGCTTTTTGCCAGCAGCCACTGAGCCTTCCGCTTTTCCAGAACCCTCCGTTGATGATTTTCTCTTCGAGGTAAGAATAAATTTTACGATGCCTTGAACCCTCACTCATCCGAGTTTTTAAAGCTCGATGGAGGCATCGAACCTTCACTCAAGCCTCTGCTGCCTGATGACACACCTTCTACAACGGCGGTATCGCCTCGTGACCGACTTAGCATCCCATTTTCCTGAACGCCCACTTTATCCGATACCTCATCCACAATTGCCCCATCTGTTGCATCTTCTACATCTTTTATATCGTCCTTGAGGAAGAAAGTCGTAAGCATTGCATCAGCAGGCGCTTTCTTCACCAAATGCTTGGACTCGAGGTCATATCGAATTTTTTCTGTCCAAACGTTTTGCGAAAGTTCATTCAACAATCGTCGTGCTGCTGATGCCAGGATTGTGTCCGTTCAGCGATATGGGGATCTTCAAGGGGTGCCGCATTGATTTCTCATCCTGCATGTCACTCGAGTCGATGAAAGGGAGTTCTACCTTCGGTTGGATCGCAGACGGGACCGCCAAGTTCCCTTGTTGTTTGGGGTGCGGGATTTAGGGACGTCGCGCGCAATAGATACGGTATGTAACGAATTCTTTGATGGTTGTACCGCAGCTGAGAGGCGCTACTACTCGATAGGCTGCTGTTTCTGGTAGACTCGACCACCTTCTTGACTACACCAATATGAAGTCTGGGGTAGAGGCCATCATGGTGTTCCCTACTCCTGCTCCTTTGATTGCGGCTGCACAAATTCTGTATGCAATTGCAGCGGAATCTCCTGGTTACAAGCTAACTAAAGTAAGCATCAATTCTCGACCCTGTGTCACCATTAGTTGATACATCAGCTACATGTAGGAAAATTGTTGGTTCTTTGCTTCCACCATTCAGGAAGTCTTGGTGTGGGGTTTCAGGGGGGTGTATGAGAGAGGGTCACTTAACCATCCCACAAATTGGTGCTGGGAAACGAGATGGCATTAAAGATCTGGCATATTCACACCTTGAAAAGCAAATCAGTGACAAGTCGGAGGCAATTCTAAGATACGCCAACTTAATTGGAGAATCAAAGCTGACGCAGGCTATCAAGTCTGTCCTCGACGCTGTAAAATACCACCATGTGAGAGAATAGTCCACGTGCCATGCTATTCACCTGTCGGATTTTGTTGTAATGCGTTACATGGCGTTATGGGATTTTGCTGTGTGTTACAAGGTGTTACACAGATTTTGCTGCGTGCTGCAAAACATTACTGAATTTGGCTGTGTGTTACAAGGGCGTTACGGGATTTTGCTACATGCTACACATATGAACTCCTGATTTGCTTGAACACAAGATGCACCCACAGAGTGCAATAAACCAAATTCCCGCTACTCTGTAGCGGGTCTTGGAAGCGTAGACTGAATGGCCATGCACAAATATTGGTTATACCCCGGTTATACCCCTTTTTTGCCTCAGCTTGCTGACATACGATTTTAGCTCATCACGCTTACCAACAGCTGAACGCCTTGTTCATGTCCACGTGCTTTACAACCTGGCTTATCCGATCTCCCCACTTCCCCGCCTTGACACCAAGTGCACTCTCCCTTCTCCGTACTCTTGCACTACACCATGTCGTCTTCTCCCAACTTAGTGTTTTTTCACGGTTTGTGGCCATTAATTTTCCTAACCAATGATGGGGTTTTGTCAGGGACGGCTCGAGGGAGGCAGGGGTAGCGGCAGTGTTACAAAAATGGGGCCGGAGGCGCTGTCACGACCCGGCGTTCCCCGGGGCCAGACGACCTCCTCCCTGACCCTCTCCCACGCCCGAACACTCCCCGCACACTCCGCTCGCCGCCCGTCGCCGTCTAACCACTTCCCGCCACCTCTCCACAACCCCTCTCTTGATTGTCGTTGAACGACCTAGCGGCGCAGAGCGCCGCGACCTGTTGTTCCATGCTTCGCCGCACCTTGTTACCTCGCGGCGAAGGCCACGCTTGACCTTCGCTGTCGTGAACACGTGCTCTTTGTTTGTTTTCCTCTTTCCTTTCTCCGCCCGCAATCTCCGCGAGATCTGGCGACTTATTCCCCATTCAGTTCCCTAGCGCTTATATACAGCTTGTAGCTAATGCTTGTACTGTAGTTCGAAATCAACTAGAATACGCCCCCTAGGCTTACCTCTGTCCCCCGTGAGACCTCTGACTCTCTGAAGTATCGGGACCGCGTCGAGAACGAGGCGCAACGCTCCCCCTCGAGTCGTTGAAGCCGAAATCCCGGCTCTCTCGCCTAAGTAGCCTCGGCCTCGAGATCGGTGGGGTTTATTCCTCGCTAAAGCTCGGTCGTGTGTAGGACGCCTATTCCACTAGCGGGCAACGCTCGGTCGCCTACGGCTACCCTCGGCGAAGATTCGCACGGTTCTGACAGGCGCCCATTTTCGTCTGTTCGAGGCACAGGAAAAGGGAAAGGTTGGGGAAGAGGGTTCATAAGAAGTTACAGATGTTGTTATAGATGTTGTAACATGAAGTTTAACAGATAGTTTAACAAATGGGTTTCAGATGGTAATAGTTGGATAAACTCTATTTATTTACATATCATGTGATTTGGGTGTGTGCAGGGCCCATAAGAGTCTAAATTGGGAAATTTCCCATTTCCATAACAGGCAGAGCGCTCGGCACTAGCGGCCCGGACGGCGGCGGGGCAGTAAGACCATATAGTGGGCGGCCCTTACTCGGGCTTACGTCCCTGTGTGGCTTCTTAGGCTGAAGCGGGAAATGTATTGTTATTAGGGTGGGAAGCTAGACTAAACTAAGGTACTTGCCTGAAGCGGGAAATGAGAAGAAGGTTACTTCTTCGGTCCTGCTTCAGCTTAGTTTATATACATGTGTGAAGGGTCACATGGGAGTGCCACATCACCTTTGGACGAAGCCGGGTTACTGTGGGTGGCTCCATGGTCGATCCCGAGTGTTGGAGGGGAAGTACAAGTAGGAGTGCGCGGCGCATCCGGCGTGGCGGTGCCCCTATGGGGTGCTCAGCGTCGGGCGCGTCTGTGCTACAAGTGTAGGAAAGAAAGAGAGAGGTCGTCTGTATAAAGATAGAGAAAGAGAAGAGGGAAAGAAAGAGAGAATGAGAGGATGAGACGAAAGGAAGGGAGGTGGCAGTGGCAGCGGCAGCGGCGTGCCCTGACAGGTTTCCAATTACCATCTCACCAAAGAAACGATAGCTCATGGCCTGTATGACTTCTCATTGACGATCAATGATCAACAGGTTTTGCTCTTACGCCACGTTCTGTGTGCTCATTGCTATTCCAGCTGTCTAGATGCATGTGTTGCTCACCGCTCTCAATATCCTTCGCGTGATCTCTTTTTCCGCTGTAGGAGAAATAATATTCAAAGAATAAAACAATGATCTATCAGAATAGTCAACGAACAGGTGACAAGTTCAGACGTTTAACAGATCTCATGATCTTTATGAGACTGGACAGACATTAGAAGATCATTATAAAATATCTACACCCATGTAGTATGAGATTTAATCTACTACAATCATGCCTAGAACTTGACATAGGTGTAATATTCAAAGAATATATCCCTACAACAAGAAAATAGCACATAGACGGCAGAATAAGAAGGAACATTGGGAAAGAAATGTAAATATCTCGGGAACCAGTAAACTTTTGACTGTAATCTTTTTACCATCTGGAAGGACTGTTTCTTAACTTTATCCACGGTTTTGTTTCATTCTAAAAGCTTCAAAACTGACGGAGATATCGCTCAAACGGCGAAACACCTTATAATTCATATATATTTATTTGCTAATTCTTACAAAAGGTAATGTGACTCAAGGGAAATATATTGGCGCCCGGGAGTCTGGCGGACCGAATACCATATGATAGAGTATTCCCCGGCGCGGGCGGACAGTTTTTGATCGCATCAGAAGAGGAGAAAATGCTAAAAAACCGGATCTTGTATATTTTCCCATGATTCATCAAAACTTTTTGATTTTAAGCCCAAATAAATTGGAACAAAGGAATGATTGATGATCTGGATCTCGGATCATAAGCATGAAGTGATTCAGAAGTCCGCGGATCAGTTAATTAATTGGGAAGGCTCTAGAACATTAGTAATGATGTGGCTTCACAAAAAGGGGTCAATTAGAGAACAGTCTAGAAAGTTCCTTTATAGCCGAGTCATTTCTAAAGATAACCGTTCGTAATTAAGGCGGTGTAGAGCATAGCTTCAGCGCTACAAGATCCCGCTGAGATCGGCCCAAAAGACAAAGAAATGAATTACTTATTGCTGAGTCATGTCCTAAGTCCATTATTAAGCTTACACAGCCCAACCCCCTATATCATTCTAGAACTATCTATAATACAAATGTAGCACATGTAACTAGTGCGAGGCGTGGGAGTAGAGAGGCCTCTGAAAAGCATAAAAGGCCACCGCTTCTGCCCCCTCTCAAACCTCAGGTAGAAATAAAAGTTTAATTCTCCTCACCGGTGGTTGGTTCGTTTGCTCCAAAAGATAAAAGCAAATATTAGTTGTTAGCTAATATAAAACTAACACGTCACTCTAAGCGTGAGTTAGGGTCAGTTAGACACAGCTGAACAAAAGTGTCATAGTGAGAATTAGTGAGAATTTGGTGGAGGGACTTCTTAATTGAATAATCTCTCAGCAATACTTGGTTATCACACCACAGGAGAAAAGTGAGTGATCCTGAACCTGCTAGATAACTAGCACGCACTCTAAGCGATAGAAAGAGCAGTTTGGTCACTCCTGTATTGAGTAACATTTATTGCGGAATTATTTTATTAGCAGTTTTCCTTCAGTAAATTATCAGGAAAATCACATCCTACTGAAAAGTGGTAAATATAGGTGTAATATTGACTAGAAATCATAGTAAAGTCAATATAGAATTTTATCCGTAGACGATCTATACATCAGGTGAGATCGTTGGGGGTGTTTATTGTTGTTTAGACAGTGAACAATCATATATTTGGCAACCAAAACACGGTCAGTACGCAAATCAGCACAAACTCTAATATCGTTATTGGACGTAGGAAACTGGTTACATAAGGTGATCCAGCTCCGCTCCTTCACCGCGCTCTGTTTGAGTACCTCCTGTCTTCTCATGCTTCACATGCCCTTTGTTACTCTGTGTGCATCGCTCTTTATGCTATCGACCCTAAACAATTGCTCCCCTCTGTCATGGCCGTGCATTCCAGCCCATTCCCAGCCCATCCCGATGCCGCCCAAGCCCATAACCGCTATGCGAGCGTGAGCGCGAGCCCCGACCTCAGCCCTATCCTCCCTGAGGACCCCCTGCTCACTCCCCTGCTTGCCCCTAGGCTCCCCTGCACCTGGCCGACTCCCCTACAGCCACACCAACCTTCCTGCCCTGAGTCCACCTCTGGCACTGTGCCCAGCGCGACTCCTCTACCCCGCCCACTTGGCCCCTACAGGGCCGCTATCATCCCCGTGCCCGACTCCAGCCCAACTCCGAGTCCAGCGCCGCTACGATACCATCGCCGCTATCGCGGCCCTACGCTCTTTCCTTTATTTATCTGTTATTGTTTGTTTTGACCCTCGGTCATTGCCGGCTGCTATGTGGCCAACCCCGCTCCTTCTTCTTGTTTGCTTCCGGACCCTTCGGCCTCCGGCCCAGGTCCGCTTCCATTCATTTCTTCTTCCTATATATATCCTGTGTGATACTTTATTGTACCTTAGCTCTAATATCGATGTGACCACGACCCCTAAGTCCTGACCCCAACAAGGCAACCCCAGTGAGTCCGAAATGAGGGCCAAGAGACAGCTAGGGGGCACAGCACTCCCTTTAGAGTTGCTGAGGCCAAATGCCCTACCCCCAGGCCTTGTTCGCGGCATCACAGCCATCGCGGCCTATAGCGGCCTGCAATGGCGACCCTCGGTGCCGACCCTGGACCAGTGTCTAACACCCTCTTTCAATGCCTGCCGTGAGTTTTTGCTAGGTTTCAATAACATCCACCAACAATTCCCCAATTGGTTCTCAACCTTGCGATCACTTGAACATCTCTCTCGGTTTCAACTGCTTGCACTTTGTCGGTTTCATGGTTTACTTGACACTCTGACTTCAAAATACCCACCCTGTGAACATTTGCGTACGATTGTGTTTGAACATAC